CTTCTCTTTTCCACAAGCCCAGCCAGCCCCAGCGGTGCTCAGGGGCGGCTCCCAGGCACAATGCCCTCTGCCTGTTCCAGCGCTAGAGCCTCGGGCTAGAGCCTGGGTTTCAGAGCTCGAGCGCCTGCCTGAGACAAAGTGCTGCCCACCTGGCTAGCGTCTGCGGGTAGCGCGAGCCCGAGTCCGCTGACCTGGGCTCTAACACTCGGGGCCGTGGGCTGCTGCTGGCTGTGTAGACATAGCCTCAGAGCTCAGCCAAGGATTCCCAGGAGCACCCTGCCTGGCGTGACATGGGGCAGCTCGAGGCCACGCTGCTAGGTGGGGCCAGCACTGCTCACTGGGGAAACGCCAGTCCCTGCCCTGCCTGCCCGCTCACTGGGCGCATGCCCCGCGCAGGCTGAGCTCTGCAGCCATGCACGATGCCCAGAGCTGGGCGATGCCGAGCGCACCTGGCTCCCTGCACCAGTGAGAATTCCCCGCAGGGCCGCCTGCCCCAGGTTCATTGCTCCCCGTGTCTCTCCCACAGGCTTCTCTGTTACCCCCTCCCCTGCCGGGTGCAGTTACATCATCAGGGACTCAGGCGCCATCAGGTCCAGGAGGGACACGTGTGCGCAGGAGCTATATTTCATCTGCCAGTTCGGTGAGTGCTGGCTGGGAGCTGGGGCTGAGCCAGATGCCCCGGGCGTTACGTGAGCCGGACGGCCCGGGCGTTACGTGAGCGGGGCTGAGCCAGATGCCCCAGGCGTTACGTGAGCCGGACAGCCCGGGCGTTACGTGAGCGGGGCTGAGCCAGATGCCCCAGGCGTTACGTGAGCCGGACAGCCCGGGCGTTACGTGAGCAGGGCTGAGCCGGACGCCCCGGGCGTTACATGAGCAGGGCTGAGCCGGACAGCCTGGCCGTTACATGAGCAGGGCTGAGCCGGACGCCCCGGGCGTTACGTGAGCGGGGCTGAGCCGGACAGCCTGGCCGTTATGTGAGCGGGGCTGAGCCGGATGGCCCGGGCGTTACGTGAGCGGGGCTGAGCCGGACACCCTGGCCGTTATGTGAGCGGGGCTGAGCCGGATGGCCCGGGCGTTACGTGAGCGGGGCTGAGCCGGACGGCCCAGGCCACCGTTATGCAAGCGGGGCTGAGCTGGGTGGGGAGGGTGCGCTAGCCTGGGACAGGCCCCCTCCCTGTGGCGCCATGTGGGTGAGGGGCAGTAGCCTGCCAGGGTCCCATGCTGCCCCGGGCGGTGCCTGGCTGGCTCACCTGTGCAACGAGGAGGGTGGGGAAGCTGCACATGGGTGGGGCCCTTGGCTCCCGCCGTGGGCCTGGGCAGGTCCGACCAGTACAGGGTGCTGGGAAATGAGCCACAGCCTGGTGGGGGAGGGAGTCCCACAGAATGAGCTCAATGGATAGAGACTCGCCCACCATGGCTGGAGTCCAGGCCGGGACATGTCTGCGGCATCGCCACACACCTGGCACTGCCGCTCCCCTCCCACTCCCCACTCCCATCCCCAGCCCCGCGGCGGCCCAGCAACCGGCTCCCATCAGCTCTTGACAGCGAAGAGACGGGCTGGGCAGAGGAGCCAGGCCCCCGGCCCCAGGAGATTCCCGCTCCCTGAGGAGGCGCCGTGGAGCAGGCTGGGAACGGCTGGTCTGCCCCATGGTCCCCTCACGGCCTTGCCATGGCGCCTGGAGGCCTTGCCTGGAGGGCGGGTGGGTTTCGTGGTTATTCAGTGTTGGCTCCCGAAAGGTTCCCAGGGCCGAATACTAAATAACTCAGCGATTAGCCACAGAAACGGGGCCAGAGGCCCAGAGCCCCAAAATTACAGCTGGGCTAGGGCGGTGCAGGCCACGTTCAACACTCATCTCTATGCCGAGCTCTCCACAGATCCCTCCCCTGAGAGGGACTCGCACGCCGCTCACCAGACTGGGGAGAGCAAGAAAGAAACCTCACAGGAGGACACCAAGCCAGCCACGGGGACCAGCACAGACACCAGACCGGCCACGGGGACCGGCACAGCCACCAGACTGGCCGCGGGAACCGGCACAGACATCAGGCCCGCCGCAGGTAAGGACATTTCTGCCCGAGCCACTGGGACAGTCTGTCTCGAGGGCCATCGCCCCACGGCCCTGTCTTCTGGGACTCGGCGAGGAATGGCTTCAGCAAGAGGACTCTAGGGTGTGGGCTCAGCTGCTGTGCCCATGAGTGGCGCTGGCCAGGGTGCAGGAGGGCTGGTCTTTGGGAGGGTGCTGGAGATTGCCAGGCACAGGAGCCCCGTCAGCTCTCAGGTTGTCTGCCCTGGGCTGGGTCCCCGACTGGTGCCAGCCGGCCCTGTGCTCACTGCCATGCACACAGCGCTCTGTGCCATGGCACAGCCAGGAGACCCTGCCCCTCCTGTGGCAGGCACAGTGGCTGCAGGGGAGCAAACACTGCAAATTTCCACCCAGTCCTCCCTGTCCGAAGCACCCCAGGGGCCTTGCACAGCCTTGCTCAGCCAGACAGGGTGAGCCAACATGTCCCCAGTGCGGGCCTCTGTGAGGGTCTAGCCATGAGCTGAGAGCCTCTCCCACCATCCTACGCAGAGCCCTGGCTGCCCACGCTGAGACCCAGACAACCTGAGAGCTGACGGGGATCCTGTGCCCAGCGCTCTAGCCCCACAGCCCCGGGACCGGGCTGTGCAGAACAACAGGTGCAGGCATGTGTGGGCCCAGCAGTGAGCAGTCAGAGCCCGCGGCCACCTCCTCCTGCCACACAGGTGGGTGCACGCTCCAGAGCAGGGGCACAGCTCCAGGCCAAGCGTTCGACCCCCCTGGTTTTGGGAGCTCAGCTGGAGGGAAACTGGCTCGATTCTGTCTGAGCTTCCTTCTTTCCTCAGCAGGGCACCTCGTGCAGCGCAGAGACGCAGCCACGGCCTGGCCGGTGAGTAGTCAGCCCCCGGTGCCTGACACTGGGATTGCTGGGCTATGTGAATGGGGAGGTGTGCGTGGGGTACAGGATCGCGGTGATGGCTGTGCTGATGGGCGGGGGCTGTGAGGGAAAGGAACAGCCCCACGGAAGCAGTGCCTGCTTTTCAACCAGAGACACATTGTTGCCCCCTAACCTCTTCTCTGCCTCCGAGCAGACGCATTCCTGCAGGAAAAATATGTGCAACGGAACCCAGACGACCGCAGGTACAGCAGCACCTGCCACACC